AGGGGGCTGGGAGGTCGGGGGGCCCCCCGGGGCCGCCTGTGGCAGTAAGAGCGGTGCTGCTCCTGGGGTGAGGGGGCTGCAGTGCCAGACGAAGTTGCAGGGAATTGAAGTTTCCTGTGCCAAGTTGGGGCCTACGGTAATTGAGACTCTCAGAACCAGTGGCCACTTTTGAAAATCTGGGCCTGTCTAACCCTCATGGCTAAAAAGAAAATCTTTCATATGCCACATAAAGCGCTGCAGCCCGCCTGAGAAAGAGCAGCCCCGAAGGGCCCACACGTTGACTCTGAACCCTAACAATGGCAGGGCAAACACCAGTAATATACATGATTTCACAGCCAGTCAGCTTAGCTCTGCACTTTAGCCTTTGGGTTTCCAACGAGAGGACATTAATTAAACAAAGAAATGAAAATCAAAGCTTTTTTAAAATAACAAAAACGCTTTTTACCAGTTTCCCCTCCCTTCTAACAATACCCAAATCCCGGGCTGATCGTGCTGTCCCTGTCAATGCGTTTTCTCATTTCCCCTCTCCCCTTGCAGGATAATCACAGGGCGCGTAGTTTGGGCTCCTGAATTACTTACGGCTGAGTGGTCACATGGCTCCTCTCTTCCATTAACGCCAGCATCCCAGGAGGAATCTCCTCCGTCCCCGCATCCTCCGCAGCAGGACCGTCCACTTCAGGCCCAGCTGTTCCATGCTCAGAGAGCCAGGCAAGGCCTTGAAGCGACTGTACCTGGCGGTATGAAGGAGACTGAGTCTCCCTCCAGCCAGCCGGAGATCCCTTCCTCGCGGCAGCAATACCACACTCTGGCACCCAGGCCCTGCTTCACGAGGGCCCAGGCAGTTCATGGCGCTTGGCACTTTCGCCAGGTCCCGTTTAGCTGCACTGCATGGCAGCGGCCAAGGGGCCAGGACAGGCTGGCAGCTGGATGTGTGAGCAAACAGGGCAGGTCCTCCCGCCCGGCGCTCAGAGCTCCTCGCCCCTACCTGGCAGAGGCGCTAAGGATCTCAGCCCCAAGCTCCCACACAGCTGGGGGAGGCAGATGTGGCTGCCCCTGCCAGGCCAGTCCCACGGGCTGGCGTTTCCTGGGGACAAGACGAAAGCTGCTGAACTTGACATGCGTGTGCAAGGCCGGGTTGGACAGAGGTGGGAGCCAACTGCCTATTTTGAACGCTCGGCCCGAACGACCTCAGTTTCCCCTTCCCGGTGACAAGCACCGCGTGAGGCACAAGGCCCCTTTCCAGCATGGGGCGGGCAGCAGAGACGTATGCTGTGTATTCAGAACCCCTGACCAGCCGGCCCAGGGCTGGACTAAGCGGGGGGCTAACCGGGAAGCTGCCCGGTGCGCCAACCTATGGGGGGCACCTGATTGGAGGGGTAAGGGGTGCCGTGCGCCCGGGGCTGCGCATGCGCCACACGCCCGCTGCCCGAGGCGCAACTATGGCTCGGTCCGGCACTAGGCCGGCCCCTCCGTGTGAATGCCTCGTGTGAAGCACACCCCCCTCAGGCACAAACGTGCTGAACCACACGACTGCGGCATGCGGGGCGCTCGTGATGCACGCGTGCTGGTGCTGAGCACGTGGCATGGCGCGTGCGTGGCCATTTCAACACGGCAGCAGGCAAACGGCAGGCTGGGCTTGCCGGGGCCACACTTACTGGTCCAGCAGGGTTTCATAGTCCAGCTCCACTTGAAGCTGCTTGTGTTGAAGGGTCTCGGGCAGCTCTTCCCTCTCCTCCTCCGGCTCGCCGCTCGCAGAACTCACCGCCGCGTCCACATGCGTCTGGAAGTGGGCGTGCTGTGGAACAGGGCCCTATGGGGCAGAGGGGGTAAGGTCAGCCCCCACACCAGAGCACCTCTGCCAGCAGGGGGCGCTGCAGGGAAGGAGACGGACAAGGCAGAGGGAGATAAGCTCAGCCCCCACACCAGAGCACCTCTGCCAGCAGGAGGCGCTGCAGGGAAGGCGATGGACGTGCTGGCGGCAGGCGCTGCAGGGAAGGCGATGGACGTGCTGGCGGCAGAGCCCCGCAGCAATTTTCTCGTGCCAGCCGCAAATGGAAGGTCTAGAGAAGTCGGCGCAGCTCACCGCTTCTCCAGCAGGAGGCACTGCAGGGAACTGAGGGGGAGCTCAGGCTGCGTGTGTGTGGCGGGGGAGGGCTCACTGCTACCCCAGTTCTGGCCTGACCTGGTAGGAGCCAGAGGAAAAGGGCAGTAGCAGCGGCTGCGGGCAGGACATCCCTGCTACTCCTCTCTGGAGGAGGCAGCTTTGAAAGCCCTTCTAGTGCCATTTTCTGGAGCGCCTTGGGAGTGAAACGTCCCAGCAATCAGCTCACCCAGGGAACCCCAGGCCAGACACCCAGAGCTGCACGGACTTTACCTCAGGATAGGGGGTGCAGACGGCTGGGACCGGGGCCTGAACTGACGGCCTTGGGCAGGAGAGTGGCGGGGGGGGGGGCGGAGACAAGCCTGGCTCAGAGCAACTCCTTGAGGAGGGCTGGTTCTGCACTGCTCGGTCAATCCCGTCCTTCAGCTCTTCCAAGCGCAGACCCAGGAGAAATATCTTCCCTTCCACCGCTCTGAAACACACCAGCACCGCAGCAGAGGGGTGAGGCCCTTCAAAACCATGCACCAGTGCAAAGAAAGGAAGGGTGCTCCAGTGGCTAAGGCGCCAACCTAGGGCACAGGCGGTCTGAGTTCCAGTCCCTGCTCTGTTACAGGCTGCTTGGGTGATGCCTTGTGCCCCCCCCCCAATCTGGTAACCATCCTCCCTTTGCTTGGCCTGTTTGCTGTGCAAGCCCTTTAGGGCAAGGACTGTCTCTGTGTGTGTACAGCGCCTAGCACATCGGAATGTTGCTCTCAGGGAGGGGCACTAGCCGTAGGAATATAACCTAAGAATTGCCCCACACTGGAGGGCTCTGAGCAGGGATATTCCTAGGATATATGGGGCCCTATGCAGTTCTGTTAAACTGGGGCCTCTATCCCCGGATGGGGGGAATGTGATTTAATAACCTTCAGCAACACACCAATGACACAGTTTGAAAGCAAACTTTAAACTACGGTCCTGTCGCCTCACACTGTAAATTGAGACGCTGACACGACAGACGGGGGGTTGGCACATGCCTGTTCGACGGCTTCGTTACCACCTGACTGGCTCTTTCCCAGGTTCCGTGTCTGCTAATAGCTCTGTCAGGCTTTTCCAGGTGTAAGTTAATTAGACCCTCTCTGGAGGAAGCAGAGACACAGCACAGGGATAGGAAGAGGTGGGTGGATGGACATTAAGACCCAGTAGTGTCCCAAATTTTCAGATGCCCTATGCAGCTGCATATTCTGAGTATGGGTAAGGATGGCCCCAGCTCTGGGCCAGGTTCTGAACCAGGTAAATGGGCAGCAGGGTCACTGCCAGACCAAAAGGTGATGCTTTAGGCTGGCATCTCCCCTATCTAACACGCCTGTTATTTCCATGTCAGTGCCCGTCCAGACTAATTCCACGCATGTGGGTGGGGCTATTCTGGATTTGCACTGATGTGACTGCAGATCAGGTCTGAGCCACTCTCTCCAGGCATCAGAGCTTATTTGTCCTGCAGGGCAAACATCTGGCTCCAGGTCATGTTCTGCCGCACCAGAGCATCTTTTGAAACAGGCACATGAAGAGCCAGGAGCCATCAGCCGACAGGGCTGGCTAGTCCGGGATCAGATCGCAGCCTGCAGTAAATCACTGCTCAGGACTGACGGGCCTCGACCCTTCATTCACGCCCACAGGTACCCATCAGGGAACACGGGCAGATAAGAATAAAACGGCATAATCGCAACAGGACACTCCCGTGCTACAAACGTGGCTGCATTCATCACACTGACGGAGCGGGCAGGCGCAGCAGCTGCATGGGAGTTAAGCCTTTGTGCATGGTCCTTTGCAGACCCAGATTTTAAACTCCAATCCCAGAGCCCTTCCTGATCCAAACAACATGTTCTTTCTTGGGCTCTCATTATACTACCTGGCCTCCAGGGCTGCAACATCTAGCACCTCCTTGGCACACTTGTGTTCCCCCCCAGGCGGTGCTGTTATCGGCAGGGCTCGCCAAGTGGTAGCAAGCTCTGCTCGCCAGCCGCGCGGTTCGGCACGCTGAGCACGTGCAGACCACGCTGCAAGTAGATTACACTATTTGTAGAGCCCTGGTTATCGGCATTTTACCCATGGGCACCAAGAAACTAAGTGATGTGCCTAGGGTCACAGGATGCCCGTAGCAGAGGAGGGAATTGAACCCTGGTCTCCCAAACCCCAGGCTGGTGCTCTAACCACTAGGGATGCGAATGGCTAACAGGTTAACCGATAAGCCACACCTTTACTGGGTGATGCTTACCATCATTGGTAAGCATCCTCCGCCACGGACTGGAGGCTGCTCCAGGTTTGTGGGGCCCGCCA